CAGGTTCAGCGAACTCCGGCACCAGGAAAGCTAGGCTCATTGTACCAGGTATCCAGCTGCCGCATCATCAAAACAGAGAATGGACATCTTGTGGGGGAGGGGGGGGCACCTTCATGGCTCGTAACCCCTGAGACCCTTGTTGTTGACAGTCCCCACAGCCAAACGGGGGATACACCCCGACGAACTGTACCAAATAAAGGGCAACCGCCGTCAATTGAGAATAAGCTCCTGAGTCTGTGAAAATCTTTCAAGGACATTCAAAGTTTCGTCGTAGGGGTCCACAAAGCAGCGAGCGGCACCAAACCTTGCATACCGCCATTTCCAGCGGGGCGCAGACAAATACATATTAATACGGAGCGATTCCTAAAATCAGTCCGAGGATCCGACAAACAGCCGGCTAACAACAGGCACTCATTGGAAACCCAGTCCACGGGTCTGCCAAACTCTGATAGTGGCCCTAGGTCAATGTCGGGGAGGAACAAGATACTCTTCATTTCTTCCGAGCAAATCACGAACCCCGGGACCGGTATGTAACGATGTTGGTCTACCGAGATCCTGGCGGTTAGGCATCGACCTTGAACGCCAATCTCTCCGCCGGTAACGGCACCGAATGGACTTCGGTCATCCTCGTACTCGCACTTGGCAGAGTTAATGGTGATAAGGCTAGCGACATCACTGCCTTTAATTATCCACATCACCTCGGCGTTGACAGGAACCCAGGACCATGTTGGTGTGCACCAGCTCTGGGGCCGGGGCCGGTGCCGGAGCCAGGACCGTGGCACACCAGTTTGGAACGGAAAATGAACAGACCAGATTAGATGTCTCGCGAGATGCTCGGACCACAGGCCAGCCAGGTAGTGTCCTCGCGGATGGTAATGCTTCTTGAACCCCCTCGCTATAGCAGACAGCGCGGGGAGCTTGTCTCTGTCCAGCGTCAGGTTCAGGGCGGAGTATTCCTGCACAATCCTTGCCCACAGATCCGGGGCTTCTGCATTGTCCCGAGTTGCCGGGCCGCGCTTGAACTCGCATTTCGTATTGAATGTTTTGTGATATTACAGTGGTCCAGGAAGCCTTGGTTCAACCGACCGCATTCGCAGTCACTGGTCTCGGCACACTCCCACGCAGGTTCATCATGAGTGAAATGCAGGACCCGCGGGGATATCATGCGCTCCTGGTAGGCCCAAGCTCTCGTTAGCAAGGGAAGCACTTGGCCGGGACGGCGTGCCAGCCATGCCTGACTCTCCTTATAATTTATCCCATCAAAGTCAAAGATGTGTAGGAACCATGTGCGGGCATTCAAACTGTACTCTTTGCCTTTCAAGCTGACGGAACGAAGGTGAATAGGAGGAGGAATCTGCGCATAAAGCCCGCAGCTTGCCATCCTGCGCATGGTCTGCCGCGAGAGTGAGGTACACGGACCCGTAGACATCAGACATGGTGGCGGATTCACGAAGCCAGTCGTCGTCGCTCCCCTGGATGATGCACATCATGTCGATCCAGAGATACCGAAGTCCAAGTCTCCGCGTGAACGCAGCGGCGTCTTGAAATGTTCGATGCAGTGACTCCCATGAGATCCTAGTCTTTCTCTCGTGTATAGTCTCGGCTGTGGTCTGGCAGCCAGGCACCAGATCACCCCAGCAGTGGCTCAGTGCCACATAGCGAGAAGAGGGGCCGTTGGCAATATCGAAAGTCTCGCGCAGAACGACGTCCAGGGAAGGACCATCCGAGTCACCATACGCGGCGAGATCAAGGACTCTGGTGGGTAGAAACGACGTAACCCTCGAGTTGCAGCGAGTATGGTTGGCGACGCAGTCCAACAGCCGCCTCTACGCCCATCTGAAAGCTTCGGCGGATGCTGTGTCCTGGCTGGGGAGTTGACGTAATACTGGGGGAGGTATTCTTTCGGGTGGCGGGTCTTGGTCGGGGTTCAGCAGGACGAACAGTTCCATGGCCCGCGGCTCAAGTCGTTGTCTGGCATCGCAAATGGAGTCGTACTGACGCAGAACTTGGCATGCCAGACACCCCGAGTCCGTGGCATCATCCTTTGTATAATTGACGGCAAATCCTTGAACTCTTTCTTCGTTCTGACGGTCGATGAAGTGATCGGCTAGGAGATCAAAGAACTTCAATAAGCCTTCTTCACCACCAAAAGAGCGTACGACACATTCGGGCTGTTTTCGCGTTGGAGTTGGCACTGACAACCGGCTGGGCTGTAGTTGCGATAGGAACTTGATCCGACATTATGCTGACTCATAAGGTAATGTAGATGACGCATTCGTGGTATTGGGACACTGGAAAGACACGATGTAGTCTCGTTGAAGGGGATGATAAGCTCAAGAGAGTGGGAGCCTAAGCTAAGCCAGCAAGAAAAGCAGGTAAGATTCCTCGACATTTAGTTACCGCTGTTGGCCTCGTCTTGAATCTGTGAAACGGTACACCATACTAAAACCACGACGCTGCATGACCAAGTCCCCGTCCCGATTATCTTCTCACCATTGTCCTTGTCCTGAATGTTTGAAACTACGCACTGCATAAGCCGTGACACTGCATGACCCGGCCCCCTCCCTCTCCCCTCACCCTCATATATACCAGGTAGGCGCTCACATCACACAGCACGACCCGCCCTTGTCCTCCCACAGATCCTCATCCGTCAACTCCCTCGTCCTCTCAGCCAGCATCCCGCCATTCGCCACCAGGAAATCCACACACGCCTGCCCCCCACGAACAACCCGCGCCAAATCCGCGGCCGTAAACCCGTCAATATCAAACTCCTCCCCGTCTTTATTCTTCGGCCTGGGCCCCCCACAAACCCCCCTGCCCAGATCCGCGCCAGCCTCCACCAGCACCCGCAGAACCTCAAGGTGATGATACCGCCCGGCGAAATGCACCGGCGCCCACCCGGCATCGTCGAGCGCGTCCACCTCGGCGCCGAGCCGGATCAGCTCGGCCGCGCACCGCGGCTGCCCCTTGAACGCGGCAAAGTGCAGCGGGCGCCGGCCGTCGTAGATGCGCGTCTCGAGGTCCGCGCCCAGCCCCACGAGCGCCGTGACCGTCTCGGCGGCGTCATTCTCTGCATACCCCGCCGCGTGGATCAGGGCCGTGTACCCGTCGGAGTCGCGCGCGTCGATGGCGCAGCCGGCTTCGGTCACCAGCCAGTGACAGAGTCCCGGGTGGCCTGCCACGGCGGCGATGTGGAGCGGGTCGGTCGCGCTGGAGGCAATGGCGGCGATGTTGGCGCCGTGGGCGGCGAGGAGTTTGACGATGGGTAGGTTTTTGGAGAGGATAGCGAGGAGGAGCGCGGTTTGCCCGGATGCGGCTTGCACGTTGGGGTCGGCGCTTTGCGAGAGGAGGTAGGAGACGAAGGAGACGGACGGCTCGTCGTCCTGCGAGGCGTTTTGGCAGGCGAGCATGAGCGGGGTAAGGCCTTTGCGGTTCTCCCGGACGTGGTCTCCCGAGACAGGCTCGTTGATTGGCGAGCCGGCTTCGACGAGGAGTTTGGTGACGGGGAGGGGGTCGCGGTTCTCGACGGCGGTGTGAATCGGGAGGTGACCTCTTTTGTTCCTGGTCGAGAGCGAGGATGTCCCGTCCGGCTGGGAGAGCAGGAAGGCGACGAGCTCTTCAGATGGGACGTTGACGGTGACATGCAGGGGAGATCCGACGTCGGGATCGAAGGCGTTGACTTTTGCGCCGCGGTCGACGAGCAACTTTACCAAGGGCAGGTTCTCGGTTCTCCGGCACGCGAGGAAGAGCGGCGTCACCAGCTCTTCGGTCTTCGGGGAGGCATTGGCATCGAGTTCCTGCCCTGTTGCAGCCTTGAAGATTGCTCCGATGTTGGCACCGCATCCGCATTCGTTGCCGTGGTTATGCGCGTGGGTGGTGGCATCCGATGGCTCCCGCTTCTTGTTGGCGTTCGGGTCTGCTCCAAGATCCAGCAGGGCTTCGGCGACGGCAAACGAGGTTTGCGGGTTCCAGGATAAAGCGCAGTGGTGAAGCGCTGTCAGGCCCTCGGCGTCCTTGGCGTTGATATCAATGCCTTGGGAGACGAGTGACCGCAGATTCCTGACGGTGTCTGCTGGGAGGCATTCAGGCTCCCCGGAGGCTACTAGAGAGACGACAAGCTCGTGCAGGGGAGTATATCCATTGTCTGCCTCGGCCTCCTCCACAACCTCCTCCTCAGCGGGAGCGGATTGTTTGTCATCATCGGCAGGTATGAATGCATCGTTGGGGTCATAGTCGTCGACGTCGGCTGGTTGGCTGCCAGCAACGGCCGCGCCATGAGTCGGCTCCGGCTGTGACACTTCCTGGGACGGAAGTGAGCTGAGTGGTTCAGCTCGAGGGGCTTTGTCCGGGTCCATTACGAGCGAGTGATTGGACTTGAGCGCAAACAGGTGATCATTTGACCAGAAAGAAATCGAAGAAAAAGAAGTGGTGCTGGGAAGTGAGGTTAATGAGTCGAGACAAACGAGCAACAAGGCGGGATTTATATCCTGATCAACAGCTAACTTGAACCTAGACTCTTTGTTCTCCTGATCAGGCAGCTGAGCTGGTAACGGAGGATACGAGAAGTCTTGGCCACTATTTGGTCATGCCAAGCCTTGAGGCTGGAAACTGCCTAAACAATGTCCGACGGCTGAGAAACGGTTGGGCACCATCGTCAGTCACGGATAACAAGACAAAGACTATCATGACCAATGAAGGAAAGAACAATGGAGTTGAAAATCACAGGTTTGACAATCTGCACATGTTGGTTGGTGGGTTGGTGAGTAGTAACTGCGTTGAACTTGAAACCGAGGTGCACGCAGCGAAGTTGGAGGTCATGCATGAGAAGAGATGACCAACGGTAGTGGATAGGTCGTATACTTCACTCAACTGCGCATTCATTTCACATGTAGTTGTTGACGCCTGGTTTTTAGCGTACACGCGTCTTGAAAAGTGAAAGAGTGGCCGATGAAATGAGTGACCGACATCAAAGAACAAAAAGAAAACCCGCCAAAAAGAATCTCTCCCGCCGGGAATTGAACCCGGGTCCCGAGCGAAGTCGACCTTGCGATGACAAGCTCATATACTGACCACTATACTACGGAAGAATTGTGGATGTGAGCATCCACCGTAGCGAGGTTTGATGGAGATTTGCGGGTAATTGGGTATTAAATAGTCGCTCCTCTCCTTAGGCAGACGCCTGGATTCCCCCAAAAAGGGGCTTTGTTTCGTTCTCTGAAGAGTTGACCGGCGTCTCAAGCATGTCCAACATTTCCAACATTACCTTCTTCATTTATTCTTGTTTGCACCTGAATCACGGATGTGCGTTTCCTACATTATATCACGATTTCTAATTTGTTCCTGATCCGTTTCTGTCGAGCTTGTCCAGGCAGTGTCCTTGCAGGCCGCTGTTGTTGGCGATGTTCGTCGGTTGTACATGCTTTCCATGCAGACCGCACGTTGAAACATCCACTCTCGAAAACCCCCCATATACGAATGCCTAAAAGGGGCTTTGATTGATTCCCATGCACCTTCAGCTACAACAGCCAACAACTAGAGATTTTCGCGAATAATAACCCAACTTATCAGTTTCCTGCAAAACACCAAAAATGCTCTGTCGCGCCTGTCGCCCCGTCCTTAAACAGATCGAGACCCACGAGGAAGAGGGTCAACCCACGGCGCTCATGAACTCGCACTACCGCACCGTCCATGGCCTCCAATGAAGTCGGAAAGACTAGAGACTTTTCATCAACCCTTCTGCATGTATCACCAAAAGCTTAGATATATTCATCTCGATAGTGCCTAACATCTCGTGAGAGTCTCATATCGAAGATGCATGATGCACCCTTAGTGTCGTTAACGCAAGCCAGACGAGTCATGTTCGTTGGCGGTGTCGCCTTTCCAGGCAACTGACGGGGCTGTTTTGCGTCTGATATAGATTGGCCGTAGATACATCGCTTTCTTTGGGTATTGAACAACTTGGTAGGTACATACGGTATTACTGACTCTATTGGGCCTTAAAAGGGATGGTGTGCTAACTGTAAAGTGCCCATTAGCAGAACCTCCTCGGTCCGGTATCCGCCTTGGCCATTCTTCCATTACGTCTAGAATTCCTCGTTCTTTTTTCAATGATCAAGCGTTAAATCAGCCGCCGATAGTGTTACTACCGAACAGACACCAATCGCCATTGACGGGGGCACTAAAAGGCGATGCGATGAAATGAGCGAAGCGTAACATACCCGCGAGATGAAAAGTTTTGTTATATATCTATAAGAACTTTTTTTTCATCTCTGGAAAGGTGGAGCGAATATTGCTGGTTGTTATCAGAGCGAAGACATGCTTTCTCAGGGGCTGGGTCTACTCAGGTGTATGCTTTCCATGAGAGTTTAGGATAGGTTAAACAACGCCAACATGTACCTGGTATATATGATCTACTATCAAAGTCTGTTCAAAAGAAAATGCACGGTGTCCATCGTTAGTTGTTGATATTGTTAACATTTCATCCGCGCGATTTCTTCTCAAAGGGCGCGTTGCGCCATGGTTATCAAACTGTTCCCGGCTGACAGGCTTCTGAATCAATGTTGTACAAACCCGTTGCTTTAGCCAATAAGGGGCAGCTAGCTTCCGAGCGGATTCCTGTCGCCAAGCTTATCCCACTGTAGTATAGTGAATGCAACCCACTCGGCCTGGATCGGGATTCGGAACCAAAACTCCACCTTGCCTAATGCAATCTTACTCCGTGCAGCGAGACGGACAGCGCGGTGAGGAAAACGACACACGATTCTTCCTTCTTCTTTGGTAACGAGTCGTCGCCGCTCAGCCCGCTTGATCCCGCGCAGGATGTCGGACAAGGGCAAAAGCCCGGCGACCACTCCGCCCCCGGAGGACTCACCCGCGACTCGGAAACCATCACCGGCGGCCAATGATGAACTTCCCCCGGCCTCGACGATTGACGGCCTTATCGAGGTTGACCGGAATGTGGGTAGCCCCACATGCCTGCTTTCCGGGACTATGTCAACTGACAAGCACGTTCAGTTGGACGATGACAATGATTCAGCCATTGGCGACTCAGTGTGAGTACCTACCTCACTCTCGGCCGCGCTTGAATAACCTACCAGGTAATTCGTCTTGAAACCATAACAGCTCGCTGACTGGAGAAGCTCAACCTACACCTCATCCCTGGCCTCGAGCGTCATCGACTACCCCATAGAGCATGGCCGTCAATACCACGCCTACCGAGCTGGGAGTAAGCAGATCCTCCATTCCACACGCCTATTATGCTAGTACGTCCCATGAAACGGTCTGGTAATTAATCAACGCCGTGCAAACCAGGATACTCACGGCCAAATGATGATGTGAGTGCATCCCGACTTGATCTCTGACGAGACAACCATTGACAACAAACCGTGTGCAGGCCGAGATGGAGCGTCTGCTCCTCCTCCACGAGATAATGACCCGCACCATCGGCGGCCTCTACCTCGCTCCGATCGACAAGCACAAGACGCACCGGATCCTCGACATTGGCACGGGGACGGGCATTTGTGGGACTCCCTCCCTTCGACCGGTTGACCTGCTTGGTGTAACTACCCGCTGACATTGGCTATGTTTCAAAGGGGCCATCTCCATCGGCGACAAGTTTCCCCACGCCGAAGTAATTAAAACCAACTCGTCCCATCGTTTCCATCTTCTGTCTACCTGTGACTAATTACCAGCTGACATCCACCGCAGGTGATCGGCAACGACCTCAGCGCCAACATGCCGACCTTTGTCCCGCCCAACGTCAAGTTCGAAGTCGACGACGTCGAGAGCCCTTGGCTCCACGACGCCAAGTTCGACTGGATCTTTTGCCGGTACATGGCGGCCGGGATATTCGACTGGCCCAAGCTCGTCTCCAACATTTACGAGTGTGTCTCCCGTGTCCCCCTTTTCCACACCCCCCTTCCCACCCGACCCCTTTCCGCCCTCCGTTCCCACAGAGACACTCCGACCTGACTAGCCACCCCGGCCAGCAACCTAACCCCGCACGGGTGGGCCGAGTTCCAAGACTTCGACCTGCAGTACTACTCGGACGACGGCTCGCTCGCGCCCGACGACCCGCTCCTCGTCTGGATCTCGAGCCTCCTCGACGCCGCGCGCGCCCTCAAGCGGGACCCCAACCCGGGCTCGCAGCTGGAAGGCTGGGTGCGCGGCGCGGGGTTCGTCAACGTCGCGCACAAGCGCTACAAGATCCCCATCGGCCCGTGGGCGCGCGACCCAGCGCTCAAGGAGATCGGGCTGTTGAACTACTGGCAGGTGAATGGCGGGCTGGAGGGGCTGACCCTGCGCTTGTTCACGGGCGTGCTGGGGTGGAAGAAGGACGAGATTTTGGTCTTGTTGGCCAAGGTCCGGCAGAGCTTGCGGAATCCCGCCGTTCATGCCATGTTTGATTTGTACGTCTTTTTTTTTTTTTTGGCTGGTGCTTGTGCTAACGTGTTGTGTCGACAGCCACGTCGTTTACGGCCAGCGGGTGGAATGACTGGACTCCGAGTCCCACGCACTTTTCGCAGGCACTCACAGCACTGGTTGATAGGTAGACAGGCACCATAGGTACGGGGAAGAAACTTGAACTCTGCACGCCGAAATGCAATAACGTTATGCTCGCTTGATTTAGTTATTAGTGCATAATTATTTCTCTACGGGAATGAGAAATGATACCGATTATTCCGCTGCATCAGTCCTGACACGACCTCCTGTGGTTATCAATGCCACCGCCAGCCAAGCATATAAGTGCTGTTTACTGTCTCAAGGATGGTATCCATGCCCGGACCGCGAATGATCAAATCAAGCCACACCGCTATCAATGCAGATAATCACCTAGTCTCCCACCGGCTCTCAAGAACCAAACACGCACCGGTCCAGCGTAGACTCTCTCCCTCATTACCCCGTTCGGAGAGGTATGTACCGCGGCAGGTCGATGGCGGCCTTCCGCTCCGCTGGGCTCCTCCTTTGCCACTCAAAGCCATCCAAGATCGGCTGCAGCTTTGTGTTGCGGCCGAACATGAGCTTCCCGCCAGGATTCTCAGGATCCTCAAACAAGCTATCTTTGCACTGTTCCTCCGTCACCCATCTGTACTCGGTGTAATACGGCGAGCCGTCCTTGCCGAGTGGGTTCTCGCTGGCCGGCCGCCGCTCGATCTTTGGGCATTGGACCTCTATCGCCGGCCCCTCGTCCCCAGACGGGACCAGGAGAGGCGCCGAGTGGGCCGTCGTGGCGTCGACCAGGATGGTCCAGAGGAAGTACTTCTTGTAGCCGAACGGCGAATCCCGGACCCGGAACCAGAACTCGGAATAGTCTCTGGTGTAATGGATGTAGCGCCTGCAGTAGATTCCCAGCTCCACCGCGAGCGCCCTCGCTAGCGTATCCCCGAACCGACCCCGGATTCTGTCTTTGGACTGCACAATCGTAGGGAGCTCCCACAGGCCCGTGTGTGAGTATTTGAATCGGTGGGGGCTCTGCTTGACGATCAAGACCCGGTCGACATTGTCTGAGCCGCGGCTGAAGAAGAGATACGAGATGCCCAGGCCGCCATTGGGATAGGGTATGCCACTTGGGTGGTTAAACCGACTCCTCAGAACAGGGAAGGTATCGTTGAGGGGCCAGAGTGTGAGATGTTGGGGACCGATGGCTTCCAAGTTGTGGTACACGTTTGGCGGCCTCGCCTTCAAGAGAGTGATTGGCGGCATTGTCGCAGTACAGATGCGTGGGTACTTAGCTGGTACCTTATGGATACGGTATGGCTGTGAGGCAAAGAAGACTGCGCAGAAGAGATGGTGCAAGAGTATTGGATGCTCGGCGTTGTGAGATGACTCGGTGCGGCGTGCTGGAGATGTCGTTTGGCGTTGGGTTGAAGTGCAACCTGCTACCACCCGGGCGGCGGCATCGAGGTTGATTGCATGGGGGACTGGAGGTTCGTGCCTGCATCTTGAATACCCGGTAAGTCTCGATGCGGAAGGATGGTGTAGGAGTAAGAAATGGTGCAGGAAGGAGAGCCGTCACCATGATGGGCAAGAAACAGCACGACAATGCCCGCGAGAGAAACGACGAAAGGTATTACGCAGCTTGGACCAG